GATGAATAAAAATAGACTAACCTTCCTCCCAAAACTAATTTTGTTACAATTCCAGGAATACTTTTTCTACATGAACAACTTCAAATCCATCTCTCTGTCACAGGTTTTGTTGGATTTAAGGATTGCAAAACAAAGACTGAAAGGCTATGCAAACAATTATTTCCCCAAAGAGTTTCTAAGTCATATATTTATTAAAATTTGTGGGGTTAAATCTTAGGGGAGGTTTTAGTCTTACTAATGCAGCTTAGATAGGCCAGGAAAAAATGACTGTGTAGCTTATGCTTCAGCCATCCAATTATTTGAATGGAGCCTGGGGAGACCAACCCATGAGGCCTTCAGCCAAATTCCAGAGGCCATTGATGATCAACACAGTGGTTACCGTTATTTCCTTGTTCTTGTTTAGTATGAATAATGGACTCTTGATTTTAGAGGAAACCATAGAGTTGACTCAGTTTTGCTGATGAGGAGTCCCAGGCCAAGGCAAGACAGCAATGTGGCAGTGAATGTAAGAACTGAGGCTAGGACTTGTAGGCAGAGCCTTGTCTCATCAGCATGAGGGACCCTCAGAGGATGCTGGCTCCATTGATCAGACATTTTTGCTTCCCTCCTAAGTTCCTTATTTTCTTAATAACATCTATAAAAAGTACTTTATAAATCCATGTTGTTATTATTACTGTATTAGTTAAAAAGCAATGTCATGTGAACCTAAGAACATTTATTTGGGTTCCTTCATTGAATTGTTTGTATAAAAAGGAAAGCACATGAATTAGACACAATTGTACTTGGCCAATGAATGCTTCTGGTATTGGGGCTCAAAATTGGATGGAATGATCTGAACCTGTTAGTTAATATGTGAAGGAGGTGCCAAACTGTAGGTTTGGTGATGAGAACTGGGTTTAAGTTTTGGCTGCAGCACTTAGTACTTTTGGCAAAGGACTTGACCCCTGTAGGCTTAACTTTCTTCTTGGGACAAGAGGGGTGACATCAGGGTTGTGGTAAGAGTTCAGTTATGTAGTAGATTAAAACCCTGAGCCCAAATCCTTAAATAATATTCAGCTCCTGTTGTACCAAACACGGGTATACAGGATCCATCATACATTGCTTCTTCATTATGATTCTTTGCAGTCTGACCAGGAGACAGGTGTTAGACCAGTAGCTAAACTGATAACATAGTAATAACTGGGAAAATCATGTGGGGGTACTGAGTACTAGAAAGCAGAAAAACCAACCTCATTCCAGGGCAGCAGAGATTTCCCTGATAAAATAATGTGACAGCTTCAAAAGTTCATTGAAAATGCTGCTTAGAAGGCCGGTGCCGCGGCTCACTAGGCTAATCCTCCACATAGCGGCGCCGGCACACCGGGTTCTAGTCCCGGTCGGGGCACTGGATTCTGTCCCGGTAGCCCCCCTTCCAGGCCAGCTCTCTGCTGTGGCCCAGGAGTGCAGTGGAGGATGGCCCGAGTGCTTGGGCCCTGCACCCCATGGGAGACCAGGAGAAGCACCTGGCTCCTGCCGCGCCGGCCGCAGCAGCCATTGGAGGATGAACCAACGGCAAAAAAAGAAGACCTTTCTCTCTGTCTGTCTCTCTCACTGTCCACTCTGCCTGTCAAAAAGAAAAAGAAAAAAAAAATGCTACTTAGAAAATAACATGGATTTCCAAGGAAATTTTGTACCAAAATAAACTTTTGCAAAATATATATTTGTTCATTTGAAAGATGGGTGGGTGGGGAGGGAGGCAGAGTGAGAGCAAGAGTGACAGTGAGAGCGAGATGCCTACAATGGCCAGGGTTGGCTGTGGCAGAAGCCAGAAGCCCAGAACTTAATCTGTGTCTTCTACTGGGGTGACAGGAATCTAAGTACTTGAACCATCGCCGTTACCTCCCAGAGTGTGCATCAGGAAGGGGTCAGACATGGGATCAGAGGTGAGACTCAAACCCAGGCACTCTGGTAAGGGACGCAGGTGTCCCAAGTGGCATCGTTAGTGCTACACCAAATGTCTGTCCCAAGTAAGCTTCTTTTAAATTAACGTTTCCTCAGACTTTAAAAATTACTGTCATTACTTGCTTAGTTCAAACAGGTAAGTGGTAAAATCAGAATTTGAAGCCAAATGTTGCCCGTGCTATATGGTGGCTTTTATTCTTCAACACAGTCCTTTATTTTGATCATTGAGCCTTTTGAACCCTACTAAATGTTACGTTAACTTCTCCTGCCCTCACCCCGGGTTGACCTCCTGCAGCCCAACATTAAGGAATGAAATAGTCTGAGAGGCACCCTTCTTGGTTGCCCTTCTGGTGAACTGAGAGTGTGGCTTTAAATTTTTAGGACTGTTTAATACTTGAAAAAGTTTAGAATGATTAAAATAGAAAAATACTGTTTCTATTTCATAAACAGTACATTTCCTTTTATTCTGGGTTGGCTATTGAGACTATCCTCTGAACATTAATTATTATAGCTATACTGTAGAAATAATATACAGACAGTAATGTCAAAGACTGTATATACCTTTGCAGTATAAATCTAGCCACGTGTGTTCTGTTTGGGGAGAAAACATTTATGAGTATCCTGCAGAAACGTTTATATGCCTATAAATAACATTGCTGGGTTCCTTTGCTAAGGGCGAATGTTTGAGAAAATTTTTTATTCAGTTTATTGTGAAGACTGCAAGACCTTAAATACAGTAACAGTGATATAATCTGCCTGTTGGATTAATAAATTTCAAAGTTGAATTTTGCATATGGGTATGGCAATTTCTGGAAGGATGTTACTTCTCTTGAAGTTCCTGCATATTGTCAGTTTTTAAGAATCAAAACAGATTAAACAATGCTGGTGTACTAGGTAGCTCTTTGTTTTTTCAAAGCGGAAGCCTGTCCTTTCTTGAAAAGCCATACCTGAGCTGTCCGGACTATAATCACTAACATACCATTTAGCATTTGCAGAGGGCTTTTCATTCAGAATTTCACAATCACTATCTTTGAATCCATATAGCATCCATGTGAAGTTGGTAGATACACTCAAGCACCCAGGTCTCCTGTAGGGGAATTTTGGTGCCGGCAGGAGTATTGTGATTGGCAGTGACTTGACTTAAACTCCCAGAGGCCAGACACCTGGAGAAGCTTTCCTGCAGGCCCAGGTACATGCCAGTGTTTCTGCTACCTGGAACTTCCTCTTCATTCCTCCTGCTACGTTACTAAGATTCAGTGACTTCTTGCACCATTAACCATAATGCAGTGTTCACTGTGTCAGTCTGCCTTAAACCCACACGGGAAGGGTATGGTTGGAAAGATTCTGAGAGAACCCCATGAACATTGGCTTTCTTTGCAGCAAATTTCAATGGCTAACACCTCCAACAAAAGTACTTTTCATTCTGAGTGGTAACTTTAACATCTACAACTAAGTACTTAGGTAAAGACATGAACACCTAGAGTTTCTGTCTTACAAGTTTGTAACATTATTCAGGCAGGCAGAGCATATTATATACCTGATGATTAAGTTATCAGCATCCAAGCATCGATTGCAACATAATGCCAGCAGTCATATATTGTATGCACATTGTGTACCAGGCACTATGGTAAACATAATACATACCTTATCTCATCCTTATAATAGCCCTGTGATGTAGACATTCTTGTCTGCATTTTACAGATGGGAAACCCAAGGCTTATAGGTTTCCCACAGTCACAGAACTTGCAGATGAGAGAGCTAGAATTCAAACCTACTTCTGTCTGACTCCAAAGTAAGTTCTTCAGCTGTTATGTAATACTGTCCTAGGTGAAGGGTGGTGTATACATTATTCAAAGCCATATACTTGGGATAGCATGCAGCAAAGAAGTGCAAAAGATAGGCTGGACTAGAAAGGCACATGTGGATTTCTTTACTTGTAAAGCAGAGCACAACTAGGTATCCACATCATACTTTATATATCGTTTCATCTTAGCACCAATCATAACTTGCCCCACATGAAAAGTATTTGTATTTTCCCTCCTATTTCAGACTTCCAGTTCCTTGGGTTTCTGTAGCATCATTACTATCTCTAGTTTCTGGTGGATCTTTTCAGAGTCAGTCACTGCATATATTTGCACATGTGTGTATGTGTATAGCCATCTGCATGCTCACCTGTGTTACAACTGAATTGCTTGAGTGGTAATAATGAAGTCCTAAGTGTATCATTAATCATAGAACACTATATTCTATACTTTTGTATTACAGACCTTTCATTACATGCATTATAAAGTGATTGTGCATGACTGGATAATTGTGGTTTTTTATTTTTTAGGAAAATGTACTTATGGTGTATTAACTGTGTCCCTTAAAAGAAAATTCAACATAAATACCATGTAATTCTATTATAAGATGGTTATAAGTTAAGTCTTAATCTGTGGGCTTGATGAGTTCTATGTGAGAAAAAATTAAAGACATTAACTTTAGGAATTAGAAACAAATGTCTCTGAAGATTTAATTTTTTTGAGGTTTCTCCATACTTCCAGTTGGTATAAGTTGCTTGGTGATATTGCATATAAAAGAATAAGGCAATATCTTCTTTAAAGATTTTATTTATTTATCTGATAGAGTTACAGAGAGAGGGAGGATGAGAGAGAAAAGTCTTCTATCTGCTGGTTCACTCTCCAAATGGCTGCAAAAGCCAGAGCTGAGCTGATCCAAAGCCAGGAACCTTGAGCTTTATCTAGGTCTCCCATGTGGGTGCAGGGGCCCAAGGACTTGGGCCATCTTCTACTGCTTTCTCAGGCCATAGCAGAGAGCTGGACTGGAAGAGGAGTAGCCAGTAAAAGAGATAGAATTTCTATTTTGTTATAGTATCCATCTATGCTTTGAAAAATGGGGAAGATAATACGGAGTGACTGGTTTATTTTGGAAATTATGTGTTTCTGGTATAAATGTGAGCTAAGAAAAGTAAATCTTTGGCTGCATATAAAGAATTTGAGCATCTTAAGTATTTTAACTTAAAAATCAAGTCACTAATCCTTTTTTTTGTCTAATTTTAGGTTTTAGCATAAAAGCAGTGCCATTCCAGAATGCCATCTTGAATGTAAAAGAACTTGGAGGTATAACATTTAAAATACTTTAAATACTTTCTCTGGCCTTAGCCTTGCTAATTTGGTGTTTATGCGTTATGTGTAATTCAAACACAATGATAATTCTAGTAGCTAATTCATTTCTACCTTTAATCTTCATCATATGTTTCCTAAGAAGATTTCCTTTTCTTTATAGATGTTTTAAAAGTTGAAAAGTTCCAAAAAACAGAATTTTGTTTTCTTTCATATGACTCACAGAGCTGCACTACTCTTGGCAATCCATACACTCTACATGTTGGTTTTACTTGTTAAAAATTTTTATTCTTGAATGAAACATAGAAAATTTTAAATATAATCATTGAAAGATTATGCAGAGCCAAGACTTGTGTTTTAGAATAGTTGGTATGGATACTGCAGGTTTTATTGTATTCCATTTTTTAGAATGTATTTGTCCTGATAGTAAATCTTTGCCAATGTGTTCTTTGCTGGTCAGGCACTTTTATTGGATAGGCTGTACCACAAACCATACATCACTCAGTCTTTCAATTCCACTCTCTGTCTGGCATCTTTTGGTTGTGTTTTATGTCATTCAGGGTCTTAACCCATGTAAATAGGTTAACAAAGAAATCAGTCAATTCAGTGAACCTACTAATTTCTGTAATGGCGCAGCAAAATGGTAAGTGCTCTGGGGTTTGGTATAATATCGATAAGTTTAATGACTTAGAAGAAAGTTCTCTTCCATCTCTTTAATTTGTGATACTGACCTTACCCTGAATTGTTTTCAGTTTTCTTTCTTCTTCTCTAAAATCCATCTAACTATGACCTATTTTTCCTTGATGAAATGGAAACACCAACTTCATGCCATTTTAATAGGGTTGGGTACTCTCTTATTTTTATCTAATAAAATATTGGTTGACCTTTTCAACTGTCTGTTTTCAGAGCATATGTCTAGGATAGGTTAGCTTCTGTCAATCTGTTTTACCTTTGATTTTAAAGCATTACTGTGTAAAGCAACCCTGAATCACAAACTCTGATTTTTCTTTAAGACATTTGATTTTGTTATTATGACTCCAAAAAATCATGAAACATGAAAATTCTTATAAAACAATAATTTTTCTGGGAAAAATTTTAAGACTGTTCTGTCAGGTTTGAGTACTTTAATATTGCTCTTTGGTTTCTGGGAACTCTGCTTCTCAGTGACAATACAATTGTTTATGGATATTTTAAAGTTAGAGGATCTACTCAACAAATCCACAAAAATCAAAATGTGTGCTTTGAGTATACTATTAGTTTTAAATATGATTGATACTTAGTGTTTTATTATGAGGATAGGCACATTACATTTATTAATATCCTTCAGATGTAAGAAATTACTGATTTGTTGATTAGATATTTAATACGTCTGATATTTAGTTGGATGAAGGAGTGAATGTACTGGGACAGTTGAGAAAGTGAGCACTTCAAGGAGTTTCTTATAACCTTGGCCCTGTTTCTGAAGGGCCACTGAAACTGAGTACAGTGAAAGCCCTGTTTAGAAGAGTGGGGGCGATAAGGTAGGAAAAGCTGTGTTTCCAAGCAAGTTTCATTTTCTTTAAAAACCATTGTTGAAATGGGAACTACATTAGAGAAGATAATATAGGGTTTGTTGGTAATATTTTAGTTAGTATGTCTTCTGTGATAAGGTTGAGAGATGTAGGTAAAGTGCAGGGCCTCGAGGATTGGAACAGGTACATTGGAACAGATACTGGCTTCAGACTAGTAATGTCGGAGTTGGGGGCATGCATTAGTTTTGGAGAATGGATTTCTAGCCTGAGCTTAGATTCCTTTACTCCCTCAACTTAAATAACTCTTTTCCGTTGAGAGACTTTCTGGAGGAAAAGATGACTTTGAGTAGAATTTCATTGTGTATCCTGTGTTGCTTGTCTAGGAGCAAGTAATAGAGGGAGTTGATTACTTGCTGGTTTACTTGCTGGTTTATTTACTAATGAATTTATGCAGATATTTTCTGAGGTTGGGTATTAGGTTATATCTCACTCAAGAACTCATGAAAAAGTAGAATAATATATATAAAGACTGTATAGTTTGCCTAGGATTTGAAATATATCCTAGGGGTGGGTATTTGGCCTAGCAGTTCAGATATCTGCATCCAATATCAGAGCTCCTGGGTTTGAATCCAAGCTCTACGCCTGTTTCCAGCTTCCTGTCAAGGCGCTCCCTGTGAGGCAGTGGTGATGGCTCAAGGAACTGGGTCCCTGCCACCTATATGGGAGATCGAGACTAAGCTCCTGGCGTTGGCCTGGTCCAGCCCTGGCTCTCGCAAGGATTTATAGTGAACTAGTGGGAGGGGAGCACTCCTTCTTTCATTCTCTCTCTCTCTAAATAAATTAAAGCCATTATGGTGTAGTGGGTAAAGCCGCTTCCGGCAGCACCAGCATCTCATGGGTATTAGTTCTATTCTTGGCTGCTCCATTTCTGATCCCGCTCTCTGCTAATACACCTGGAAGAGTAGCATTAGATGGCCCAAATGCTTGGGGCCCTGCACCCACATGGGAGACCTGGAAGAAGCTCCTGTCTTCCGATGAGCACATACCTCCGCCATTGCAGCCATCTGGGTAATGGACCAGTGGATGGAAGATTCTCTCTCTCTCTAACTCTGCCTTTGAAATAAATAAAATAAATTTTAAAATACATAAATACAGTTTCTACATACCAAAGGGATCATCCCAATATAAAGTTTGTGGCATTTAGGGAGAATTAGGATCAAGTTGTATGAAAGAAGTTGCTTGGGCAAGAACTTATAGAAAAGAATTGAGTGTTTTAGGGCCAGCAAGTGAAAATACTTTACTTATTTGCTGGTGGAAGATTCCTGGGCAGACAGGGTAATCAGAGTTCAATTAGATTTCAACTCAGGAAAATTCTAAAGATGGTGGTAAGATAGGCAGACAGTGCTGAAGTCCCAGTGAGGAGATGCCCAGGTTATCTATGCTGGGGCTAGTTCAGGAGAGGAGCATGGCCCTGTTCCTGTCCACTACTATCCTGACTCTGCCTCTTTGAGAGAGCTCCAAAGCTCACCGTTGCTCCCCTTTCTAGCCTTCAATTCCCCACTTCTTCACAGTCGGAAAAGGCATGAGCTGGTGCTCCTTACCTAGTAAGAATAAATGATAGGGGCCAGCCCCGCGGCTCAATAGGCTAATCCTCCCCCTTGCGGTGCTGGCACACTGGGTTCTAGTCCCAGTCGGGGCGCCGGATTCTGTCCCGGTTGCCCCTCTTCCAGGCCAGCTCTCTGCTGTGGCCTGGGAGTGCAGTGGAGGATGGCCCAAGTGCTTGGGCCCTGCACCCACATGGGAGACCAGGAGAAGCACCTGGCTCCTGGCTTCGGATCAGCGTGGCGCGGCAGCCATTGGAGGGTGAACCAATGGAAAAGGAAGACCTTTCTCTCTGTTTCTCTCTCACTGTCCACTCTGCCTGTCAAAAATAAATAAATAAATAAATAAATGATAGGGGATGAAATAACAGTGAGTAAAGGAGATAAATGTAATGAAAGTCACTTCGGGTGTCATCTTGATCGATCATATTTTGCATACAACTGATAGATGTTTGTACATAGGTTTTTTTGGTATATGTAAAATAAAATACATGCTAAATATGTGATATGGATAAGCAGTTCTGTCTTCTTCAGTTTCCTGTTTTATGAAGGTGCTTCCCCATCTCTTACCTTAAATTTCTTAAAATTCTCATTCGCATCACTTTCTTTTCATGTGGTGTTTTCCTGGACATGCTGCCATATTTAACTGTGTGTCTCGCATGACCCTAGAAGCTAAGAATATAGGATAGAAGACACAGCTGCTGTCTTCAAGAAGCACGTGATGCGAGAATGGAGATGTTTATGAACACCAATATAATAAATTAATAAAATTTTTGAAAATAGTGAAGTTAAGAGGGAAAATGCATGTGCCTAAATACAAGGTAAACACTGACACAAAGATAGTCAGGCTTGGCAATATGATGTCCAAGGCTGTTTCCATTGTGCTGAGGCTGGCTTGCTCTCCTTGGTTTATCTGCCATACTTCAGCCCATCTCTGTGAAATCAAAACTCCAAAGTTTCTTCTCCTATTTTTCACTTATTCCCTTTCCTACTTCCCTATATGTTCTCACTTAATCTTTACAACTTCATTCCTAGAGAGTGGATGTTATTATTATCTGACAGATAATACAATGTTAGACAGTAAAACACAGGTTAAGTGACCTGACCAGGGTTATTTGGCAGAGAGGTGGGAACCAGTGTACACATTGCCCTTCATCAATGTCCACACTATGGGAAGTATTTTGTCCACTCATTGCCTAGCACAGGAGAAATCCTTCCACATGTTACCTAATGCTGTTTTTATTACTCTTTCCACAGTGTGAAGTCTTCATGTGTTGGTAATGTTTCACTAACCTTGTATTGACAAAATGTGAACACCGTGTTCTACTCAAAACTTAGTAGGACGTAATCTCTAATTATTGAAGCTGCTGTTATCATCCATTTTCTGTCTTACTTAGACATCTCTCAGGTCAAACTGGTTCCATTATTTTTTTTTTAAAAGATTTATTTATTTATTTGAAAGAGTTACACAGAGAGACAAGGAGAGGCAGAGAGGGAGGGAGAGAGGTCTTCCATCTTCTGGTTCACTCCCCAATTGGCCGCAATGGCTGGAGCTGCGTGGATCCAAAGCCAGGACCCAGGCAGGAGCTGCGTGGATCCAAAGCCAGGAGCCAGGTACTTCCTCTGGGTCTTCCCACATGGGTGCAGGGGCCCAAGGACTTGGGTCATTTTCTACTACTTTCCCAGGCCATAGCAGAGAGCTGGGTTAGAAGTGGGGCAGCTGGGTCTCAAACCAGCGCCCATATGGGATTCTGGCACTGCAGGCGGTGGCTTTACCCGCTACACCACAGCGCTGGCCCTCCATTATGGTTTAACTCCTAGTACTGTAGCTGGTCTTTCCTCTCATTTCCACAAGACAGCTTTCTGAATCTACATTCCCAGGATC